TTTTTATTATTTATTTTCGAAATGAGAACAATCTTCTGAATATTCATCTATATTATAAGTTGAATTAGAGATCTCATGAGGTATGAGTGAGTAGTGAGTATGACTCACTGAGACAATCAAATTAGTTTATTTTCGTATTGGTTATGATATACAATAGATACGCTAGAATATAATCGCTACATTAAGTTTCAATAACTAGTCGATTTAAATTTTATTTCTTTTTTTCTTCGTTTCATGTGAAGATAAATTCATCATTCGCTGTTTTCTACTCTGTTAATACATGAAAAGAGGAAAAGAAAAAGTGCGTAAGTTCGCTGTCTATTTAACTCTTGCTTTCCGCTAAAATTCGATAAAGAGTTTAATATAGATACTGCATATTCTTGTTCTGTATATGAGAGTGAACATATCCAAATTTTATAAGCGTCTATTTATAAGAAGATCTTCAAAAATGAGAGAAAAATAGAACAGTTATTGCATCGTTCATAGCTACAAGTTCTTCTTTTGAGGCAGTTCGTAACGAGTTTATAAATGTAATACATTATTTCGATGGCGAATATGAAGTAGTTTCAGTAGAGGATTCATTAAATTGATGACCCATGGAGAATATCATCACTTAGAAGGAAAACAGGCATAAGTACTTATACAAAGTGGAAATGCCGCTTCCAAAATAGACTGGCAGTTTCGAAATTCTCATATCTTAGAAGATATCGTTTTTTTCGATAAAATCTCCTTTATAAATCTTGACAGTGACAGCAAATACATATAAAACTTATAAATATGGTGCCGTATATTGAGAAGAACGTTTGTCTCTTGCCATAACTGAAATTGTAGCTTTCTAAATATCAGAAATCTGTTAGATAATACATGGATCATTTTTTCCTTCTCCACCAATCTGAATTAATCGTTATATTTAAAAAGCTAGTTGTTCAACGATTTCTTTCATCCATTGTGAGTGACATTTAAAGAATCTACTACTTAACACCTGAGACTGATACATTAAAAGTCAGATTTTGGGTGTGGGTGTGAATATGTTATAATTATGATACTCACACCGACACCCACATCCACACCCACACCCTCACGCACACCTACACCCTCAAGATGTAAATGTTGGATAATTATTCAATCCAAATTTACATATCAATATCAATCCCGTATATTATTATAAATAAGTGCTCTGTAACCTTTAAGAATGTTATTTCTAGATTAAATAATTATGAATAAAATAGTACCACTTTTTCCTAGCAATGCCTTACCCAGTTCTTCTGATTCTAATCAACCTGCAGATATTAGAGAATTAAAAATTATAACAAATTATCGAGAAACTGGTACCGATTCGAAATATGAAGTTAAAACAAACCAGGGAAATATTAAAGGCTTTTCTGAAACAGATGCAAATGGTTCAACCAATCAGCTTTATATGGTTGGCCCATTAGGAACTCCAGTTAGTTTAAACAATCAGGGATCTGTACCGGTTTCGCAAGATATTACAATTCACTCAAACAATCAAATAGCCATATCTGCGGTAAACGCTCTTGTAGTCAAGACTGTCGAACCAGCACCCTATACAAGTGCAACAACGCTTATACCTCTTCCAGATAAACCATATACTGTAGCAACACTTCCAAGCGATCCATTCAACTTTTCATACTTCCAGCAGCACGTCAAAAGTAAGCTTTGCTACAATTCGGATCCTATCGACACAGCTATGGTCACCAAATCTCAAGATCGTGTCGCATACTGGGCTGAAATATGGACACTAATGGAGTATAGATCGGTGAAAACGGAAGAAAGGCCATATAAAGGTGAATCTGTGGGTGGTCAAGTTGTTGGCAATCTATTCGATTTGAAAGATTTACCAATTCAAACACCTCAAACTGATATCGAAGGGACTCGCGAGACATCATGTCCACTAGTTAACACACAACGTAAAGTTATATGTAGTCAGTGTAATGGAAAAGGTAAACAACAGTGTGCTTCTTGTGCTGGACAGGGGCACTTAATACCTTGTGGATGTGGAAATGACACACAATGCTCGACTTGCCATGGTACAGGTAATTTGAACTGTACTAAATGTGTAGGAGCTTGTTTCCTTCTCCGATGGGAAGTGTTGACAATCAAGTGGGAAACAATACAGACGGTATCCCCTTATCAAAATACATTTCTACCAAAAAGGAAGATTCGCTTTCGACCTAAGAAAAAAGTTTTTTTCGATGCAGATCATGACTGGACCAATCACATATTTTTAACAAACTATCCTGATCTATACGAAACAATTGCCACACATACTCCTCCAGACATGGCAAAAAAATTCGGGCAAGATATTCAAAAGCAATATCAAACACATTATGCTAGATTGAAACCTTCAACGATAATGCGTAAAATGAAAATTTTAATTAGACAAGTTAATATTATCGAAGTAGATTATCAACTTGAAGGTTATACCAATAAAAATGGAACACATAAGGGTAAGTAGTGACGATTACATTTAAGAAAGTTTAATAATATAAATACTTTTAATATAGGTACTAATACTTTTAATTATTTGGTATATGGTTGCGAAGAAAATGGTAAAGCAATGATCTATGAAAATAACTATCCTCTTAACTGCTGTGGTTGTTTAGGTCCAAAAGCTGCCTGTCGATGTAACTGCTCCATATCATAATCAACGAAGATAATAAACTTCTCATAACTTATATTTCTATTTTTAATATTCAAATAAAGACTTCTGTAGAATGACACAATTGTGATTTCCATTTTGTCTTAGTTTCAAAATTTTTTATAAACAATTACTGTTAAGGATATGGACGAGTGTGACGAGGTAATGTAATACTAATAGTATTAATACATGTTGTTGCTTTATAAAGAAGAAAAAAGAGCTTTTTATCTCAAATTCCTTTGACGAGCGTTTATCTTCGCATTCAATAGTCATTTTAAGCTTATGGGAATTAATATAACAAATAATATATTTCGGTTTTCATGACATAAACATATTAATCAAATGTTTTGATTATCTTACTTGAAAAAAACTGCGCATTGTTTCACTTGCTTTTGGTATTTTTAAAATCAAGAACATATATACAATTTTTTACAAAAAAAAACTTAGCCTCATGTTCATCAGAGAATCCATTGATTTCCAATATGATCAGATAGCCAATGGAGAAAACTATATACTGTAGGGTGCGAGTGGGTGTCTCACTTTTACTTCAGTAACCCCACACTCTCAAGATAGTGATACTAACATCTTCTATTTTCATAGTCGATTCACAGCCATGAAATAGAAAGAAACAACTTTTTTTATATTGTTTCTGTGTGACAACTGTCATTGATTTTACATTTAAAAAAAAAATATATACTTAATATTCCTATAACAGAAAATTTAGACATGGATGACTCAATGATAAAACAAAAGGAGATATTTTTCATAAAAAAAGACTCATTTCTATTGATCAGTACTATCACAAATCAAAAATTATTTTATTTTCTCTTGAAATTTTGTGATGAAAGTATGAACGAAGTACAATGAAAGTACGAAAGTAACGGTTTTTTTGCTCTTTGTAACCTTGTACTCATATTATTTTCGTTGTGAAATTTGCTTATCAAGATATCAAAAAAGACATGAGAATTGATGAGTAAATCAATAAAAAGGACAAATAAATATTTTTAATTTCTCGTAAACATTTCTGTAATGTACTTTTTTTTGATTAATATTCATATATTCTTCTCACGTGAGAAAAAGGTGCGAACGTAGACCATGTTTTATAATAAATATGCACTCGATAGTTTGAAAAGAACGGTTGTTATCATTAATAGACATTGCGTCAAACATGATTAAGATTCAATTATTTCTGTGACCACACCAACGCGTTGAATGACACTATATTAGTGAATCATTTTTTTCTTTGAAATTTTCTATTTAAAAAAGTACATACGCGTCTTCAGTTACCAAAAAGTTAAAGAAAAGTACACTTCACTTTTTATCGATTTTTTTTAAAAATCGTTTCTCATGTTATCATCATATTATGTCTTACACCAGCTATTTCATATGGCTGAACGTCATCCTCAAAAAATCGCTATAATACTTGACGCTCAAACGTGGACCTACAGTGAATTGATTGAACAAGTTGAACGTGTAGTGGATTATTTGCATCATTTAAACATCGTAAAAGGTCAAATTATTTATCAGTTTGTTGAACGTAGTTTTGAAATGGTATGTGGATTCTTGGGTATTATGTGTGTCGATGCTGTATATTGTCCATTAAATCCAACAGATTCTCCATCGCGTCTTATTTCCATCTTAGAACAAATACAAAGTGAATATGTTCTGGTTCATCACACGACATACAAACAATTTCCAAAAGACATAGTTAAACACGTTATTCTCCTGGAGGAAATTCTTTTTCCATTATCACATATTGAAGATATAAATGAACTTCCATATTGTATAGAACAGGGTCCCGCATTTATCATATGTACATCAGGTACAACTGGTCGACCAAAAGCAATACTTCATACTCACAAAAGTTTTGCAGCAAGTAATGCAGCTTATATTCAATGGAATGCTGATATGTATACAATCCGAGATCAAGTTCTTCAACTCTCTACTTGTACATGGATTTTACAACTATCAGAAATTGCATTACCATTAGTTGTCGGTGGTTCTGTTGTACTTTTACGACCTAGTGGTCATTTGGATATGTCGTATTTATCAAAAATTCTAGTCAATCAACAAGTAACAACACTTATCATTGGTCCAGCAATAATTCGAGGTCTTATCGATTTGTTTGAGATTAGTCAACAATTTGATACATTTAAATTTGTACACAATTTATGTGTAACAGGTAACTATAAAATACTTTCTTTAAATGTAGATGTTACGATATTTTATAATAATTTAGCTGAAGCGGTAAATCCTCAACAATGGACTAAATTTATTGGTTATTTGAATCTGTCGACTATTCGAATCAATTCTCAATATGGTATGTCAGAATGTAACGGAGTTCTTGGCTGTCGTTTGTCAGATGTCTATAATACAAGTATACCTATTGGTTGTCCATTCTCTAATGTTCGTTGTTTGCTTATCGATGAACACGATAATATTATTAATAATACGATCAATCCAAATAAAATTGGTCAACTTCATATAGGAGGTATTAATAATAATTCATCTGAATCATTATTATCGATTGATTTTTATTTATTTATAGGGCCAACTCTGTTTAATTGTTATCTGAATGATTCACAACGTACAGATGATACACTTATTACTATTGATAATCATACGTATTTAAAAACAGGAGATTTAGCTCGATATAATGAACGTGGCGAACTCGTACATGCTGGACGTGCGGATTTTCAAATTAAAATTCACGGTCAACGAGTAGAAACAACTGAAATTGAAGATACAATTATGAATTGGTCTCGAAATAAAATCTCCGGTTGTCTTGTCACTAAATCACCACAAAATGAAGATTTATTAGTTGCTTATATTGTTTCGCATGATTTAAACCTTAATATTGAAGAGATTCGAAATCATTGTACTAAGCATCTTCGTCAATATATGATTCCATTTGATATGGTTGTTCTTGATAAATTTCCATTGAATTCTAATGGAAAAATCGATAGAAAACAACTTCCTATACCATCCTCACTCAGCAGCGAACCAATTAATTCTGTTCCGATTGACGATACACCAATTTCGGAATTAGAAGAGAAAATACACAAATTATGGTGCAGTGTATTACAACTTAATTCTGTTCCTCGTCATGCAAATTGTTTTGCATTAGGTGGCTCTTCCCTTACATTGATTCAATTTTTCAATTATTATCAATTTCATTTCGCTCCCGATATGCAACTCAATGTACTCGACTTTTTTATCAGTCCAACAATCGATGACCATGCTCAACTCTTATTAAATTGTAAAACAAAAACAAAAATCATTTGGAGTCCACTCCATTTAACACAAGGTAAATCATCTACACAACAACAAAAAAAATACTTGAATTGTTTTTATTATATTTTGTACATAGGAGTAGCGTCGTTTGCTCAAAATCGTCTCTGGATGGACGAACAAGTACGTTTTCATAAATCAAACAATGAACAAGTATCTGTTTTCAATGAATTACTTATTTATAAATTAACATCTCTTACATCATTCTCCATTGATCGGCTTCGTCATGCTCTTAAACTTATTGTTACTAAACATGTAATTCTTCGTACAGCAGTGATATTTGATGAAGAAAGATTGATCCAAAAAATCCTTCCAATATCACCCGAGCATTATGAAATACAAATAACTTATGTAACAAATGAACTTAATATAAAAAAGATTTTTTATGATGAAGAAACAAATCGATCATTGTTTAATCTCGAACAAGGTAAAGTATTTCGTTGTCATTTACTTCTTCAATCATCTGATAACGATTTAAAACATAATGATATAATTATTTTCAATTTTCATCATATTGCAATTGATGGTAGTTCTATTCAAGTATTTATCGATGATCTTCGTCAAAATCTCACTACAGAAGAGTTATCTTGTGATGATCAAGAGTGTATTACCTATCTTGATTATTCACAATATGAAAGATTAGAAGATTGGTCAAATGCTCGACAATATTGGAATAAAGTTTTAACATCATTTCATACTTCAATTAATCAACAAAATTATCCTGTAAGAACAGGCAAAGGTTATACAGTAACATTCGATTTAGATCATA